GGGATCACTGCAGATGCTGTGCCCAGCAGGCTGGGGCCACGACAGGCCTGGGTTACATGCTGGGTCCAACCTGAAGTCTGGGGCGGTGGTGTGTACCCTATTCCCAGTGACTCTGGGAGGCTGTGGCAGGAGGATTGTGAACTCCAGGTAGTCCTGGGTAACATAGTGAGACCCTGTCTGAAAAAAACCAGTCGTGGTGGTGTGCACCTGTAGTCGCAGCAGGAAGACTAGGCAAGAGGGTCACTACATGGTGAGACTGCCTTAAGAAGCCAGAGTACCCATGAACAGTACATACAGGCGTGAGGTGGTTAGTGCTGCACACAGGCTCTGTGGCATTCATGGTTGAGCTCCAGAGCTGGATTGCCTGGAGTCGGACCCCGAGTCTGCCGTCGATTGACTGTGTGTGACACTGAGTAATTTACCCAACTTCTCTATGTGTCAGGTTTTACCTTCAGTGGGAGATAATACTAACCTCATAGGGTTCTGAGATTTTGACTAATTTAAATAACTTTACATGTTATCTGATTCATATTAAACTCTGAACATTAGTTTTTACTAATGCTTTTTATATGACTTTTGATTTTAAGATGAGGCCACCCGAAGAAGAAAAGTTACCAACAGGTCAGATGCTTTCAACATGCAAATGAGACAACGGAAAGGAACTCTCTCTGTTAACTTTGTAAGTGTTTGGGATGTGTCAAGAGGGAAGAGACGAGTTTTCATTTTGCACTTTTTATCTTGGTATATCTTGCTATGCCGTTAGGTAGCTCATGTGATTAGAAGACTTGATGGCAAGTCTGCATTGGTTTCTGTAATGTCGACTTGCTTTGCCCGGATGCATAGACTGTTACCCTTCAGTCCTTGATGCTGTGGGTAACTGAGGCGGGAATACGGACCTGAGCAGGTAATTGTGTTGTAGTGTAGATGGGGCCCAATGTTCATTTTTGACTAGAGTATTATGTATAAGAATGATGTAGTATTTCTTAAGCACAGAAGTGGATTTTCAAATACCCTAGATTTGTAGTCTCTCTTTACTCTAATAGCTCAGTATGATTTATTAACTTGCCTCTAGAAGCTCTGGAAGAAAACTAAGGGAGTTTTGTGAAAGGTTGTTTAAATTATTTAAAATGTTAGTAAATATTAAGGACATATGTTCACTTTAGAAATAATTATTTATTTAATTTTGCTTATTGCTATCACTTTTTAATTTGACCAGAGGAGGGAGAGGGAAAGTGCGAAAGAACGCCGCCAGGTCTGGGACTTTAACCCTGATCGGCCATGTGGGAGCCCAGCGCCTTATCCACTACACCACCTGCTGGCCCTATGTTTACTTTTTTTTTTTTTTTTTAAGATTTTTTTATTTTTTTAGATAGGTTTTTGCTATAGGGCACGTGCGCTTGCCAGAAAGACAGAGACAGAAAGAAAGTGAGAAATCATCCCCCAGGGGGGATGGCCACGCTGCAATCCCTTCTCCTCCATTCTCCTCTCGGGATCTTGAGCACGCACGCACATGCGCCCGGTGTGAGTTTAAGCCACCAGTTCTGGGACTCAAACCATGGTCGACTACATGGGAGTCCAGCAATATAGCCATTATGCCAACTGCTCGTCCCTTGATTTTATTTCTTCCTTCATTTATTCTCATTTGACCAGAGAGACAGAGAGAGAGAAAGAGAAAATGGGAAAGGAAGCCACCAGGTTGAGGACTCGAACCATGGTCAGCCATGTGGGAGTATCCAGCATCTTAACCGCCACGCCACCTGCTGGTCCCAATGTTTACTTTTAAAAAAATTATTTAATCTTCTTCTTCATCATCATTATTATTTTGACCAGCGAGAAAGTGGGAAAGCAAGGCACTAGGTCAGGGATTCAAACTGCGGCTGGCCATGTGGGAGTCCAGTGCCTTAACCACCATACCACCCGCTGGCCCCCTTATGGTTACTTTTCAGTGTGTTGCTTTGGTTTAATTAAGGAATTCTTGATGGAAATTGAGTATTACTATAGAAAATAGACTTACTTTGATTGGTTTTCCTGACAGGTCGATCTCTACGTCTGTATGTTCTGTGGTCGGGGGAACGATGAGGATAAACTGCTTCTGTGTGATGGATGTGATGACAGCTACCATACATTTTGTCTTATTCCTCCACTACCTGATGTACCCAAAGGAGACTGGAGGTGTCCCAAATGTGTTGCTGAGGTGCCAGCCTGACTTTTATAGATCTGTCTTTAACTAGAAACAGTAATGCCTGCATAGACACAAAATGTAAATGGAGTCCCAGAATGTATTTTACCATTTTAACTCTGTTTTTAACCATTTTAACTTCCTAGGATTTAAAAAGATCTCTGTCAGTTGTATTATGTCTTTCAAAAGTCCTTTTTCTGACAGTTGGTTAGATGGTAATTCTTACTGCTGCAGATGAATAAAATTTCTGCTCAGAACAGTCATATTGTTGGATAACAGTAAAAATGAAAAAAGCTTTAGTTTTTTTTTTTGATGAAAAAAATTATAAGCTATATCAGTATAGAACTGGGATTTGTAAATCCTGTTTTCAGGTAAACCAGGTGTATCTTTTTACCTTGTTCAAATTTTGACTCAATTTTACTAAACTTGTCTCACCAAAAGCTTGTAAGGTCATTGTCATGAAATGGCTTGCCTGTTTACTTACATTGACACAAATGTTATGATGGGACATTAAAGAGTAGTTGAGTGGTTCTTCGTAGGTATATGCAAAGGTCTTTTATGGCCTCTGGATTAGTATTACTCTCAAGATTAAAAGATTAAGAGGAAGTTTTACACTAATGAATATTTGGGTTAAGTCTTGGGCATGGTGATTAACGGCCATGATCTATTAGGCAGACATCCTTACAGTCTAGCGTGGATCTTTTTATTCCCTTCCCTTCCCCCGTGAACGTTTATTTCCTCCATCATCCAAGCCCCTGGTTTGTCCAGAGTGACAGGTACCCCCGAGTGTTACTCCACGGTAGTAGTAATCCTGGGGCTTGTCAGAGCTTAATGCTGTCTCAAGGATAAAGCCATCCTCACCAACTTCAATTGGAATGTTAGGAAAATGCAATTGAGGTTCTGGAATATTATTTTCTAACACCGTATTGTGAATAGCTAATATAAGGGGACTTCACAAATGGAATTAGAAGAAGGTAGGAAATGGAATTAAAGAAAGAGTTTATTCTGGTTGAAAAAAATTTGGAGATTCATACATAGTTTTTTCATAGTGTACATTTTTAATAAACTTTTAAAAAAAATCCACCCACTTATTTCATAAGTAAGACAGTCAGAGATAGCACCCCTGACAGACCCTTGCCAAAACCCACCCCAGCCGCAGCCAGCCCTGGGTCATGGCACACATGCACTAGAGCACCCAGGGATGTCTTTGGGTGTCAGCTGGCAGTCTCCCCTCGTGGGACTGCCCCGTAGAGAATCAAGCTCCACCACTGCCATCGCTCTGACCCGTTTCTATAAACTGTTTAAAGACTTCTGCTTGTCTTCCGGTCTAGGGTTAATTGGATTTGCTTCATGTTAGGAAAATAGTAAAAGATAATACTTAAAAACTTTAATGCTTTCATCTGTTCAGATTCAGTAAGTTAATCTGAAAATTTTGACTCAATTTTACTAAACTTGTCTCACCAAAAGCTTGTAAGGTCATTGTCATGAAATGGCTTGCCTGTTTACTTACATTGACACAAATGTTATGATGGGACATTAAAGAGTAGTTGAGTGGTTCTTCGTAGGTATATGCAAAGGTCTTTTATGGCCTCTGGATTAGTATTACTCTCAAGATTAAAAGATTAAGAGGAAGTTTTACACTAATGAATATTTGGGTTAAGTCTTGGGCATGGTGATTAACGGCCATGATCTATTAGGCAGACATCCTTACAGTCTAGCGTGGATCTTTTTATTCCCTTCCCTTCCCCCGTGAACGTTTATTTCCTCCATCATCCAAGCCCCTGGTTTGTCCAGAGTGACAGGTACCCCCGAGTGTTACTCCACGGTAGTAGTAATCCTGGGGCTTGTCAGAGCTTAATGCTGTCTCAAGGATAAAGCCATCCTCACCAACTTCAATTGGAATGTTAGGAAAATGCAATTGAGGTTCTGGAATATTATTTTCTAACACCGTATTGTGAATAGCTAATATAAGGGGACTTCACAAATGGAATTAGAAGAAGGTAGGAAATGGAATTAAAGAAAGAGTTTATTCTGGTTGAAAAAAATTTGGAGATTCATACATAGTTTTTTCATAGTGTACATTTTTAATAAACTTTTAAAAAAAATCCACCCACTTATTTCATAAGTAAGACAGTCAGAGATAGCACCCCTGACAGACCCTTGCCAAAACCCACCCCAGCCGCAGCCAGCCCTGGGTCATGGCACACATGCACTAGAGCACCCAGGGATGTCTTTGGGTGTCAGCTGGCAGTCTCCCCTCGTGGGACTGCCCCGTAGAGAATCAAGCTCCACCACTGCCATCGCTCTGACCCGTTTCTATAAACTGTTTAAAGACTTCTGCTTGTCTTCCGGTCTAGGGTTAATTGGATTTGCTTCATGTTAGGAAAATAGTAAAAGATAATACTTAAAAACTTTAATGCTTTCATCTGTTCAGATTCAGTAAGTTAATCTGATTTTTTTTTTTTTTTTTAGGAATGTAACAAACCTCGAGAAGCATTTGGCTTTGAGCAAGCTGTACGAGAGTACACACTTCAGAGCTTTGGAGAGATGGCCGATAATTTTAAATCCGACTATTTCAATATGCCAGTCCATGTGAGTAGCTATTCTTTAGGTCAGTTTGGGACGATACAAAGATATTATTTAGGTTTAAAGCTTTTGTTTACTTGATTTTATTACTTTGTAGAAAATAGGGACAGCATGAAAAAGGTGGTAGGTCAGGTCACTAGGTCTTAAAATAATGGACAAGAGTCTGTTTCTGTGTCATTCTGTATAATGTTGCAGTTTGCACTCCTTTTTTTTTTTTTGGAGAGGTTTTTGCTATAAGGGCGAGTTTGCTCGCCAGACAGAGAGAGAGACAGAGAGACAGAAAGCGAGAAATCACCCCCCAGGGGTATGGCCACGCTGCAATCCCTTCTCCTCTCGGGATCTTGGGCACGCACACACACGTGCCCGGTGTGAGTTTTAAGCCACTGGGTCCGGGGCGCAAACCGCAGTCGACTACGTGGGAGTCCAGCGACATAGTCATTACGCTAACTGCTGGTCCCTGCACTCTCTTGATAAACCTATTTTGATACTTGGATTGTTTTTTTAGCTATCTGTGAGTAATCCTTTGCAGAAAAGCATGAAATATTTGGCAGTTGCTCCTTTTTTTTAGTTATTTGGGGTTTGCTTTTTTTTTTCTTTCTTTTTTTTTGAGAGGTTTTTTGCTACAGGACGCGTGCGCTCCTCAGACAGACAGAGTCAGAGAGACAGAAAGTGAGAAATCCCCCCTGGGGGGATGGCCACGCCGCAATCTCTTCTCCATTCTCCACTCAGGATCTTGGGCATGCACGCACAAGCACCTGGCGTGAGCTTAAGCCGCCGGGTCCGGGACTCGAACTGTGGTCGACTCTGTGGGAGTCCAGCGACATAGCCGTTACGCTAACTGCTGGTCCTGGGTTTGCTTCTTTTTTTTTTAAGAGAGAGATTTTTCTCTATAGGGCGTGTTTGTTCGCCAGAATGACAGAGAGACAGAAAGCTAGATAACCACCCCCTGCCCAAGAGGATGGCCATGCCCCAGTCCCTTTTCCTCCATTCTCCTTTTGGGATTTTGGGTACTAACATACAGATGCCCAGCGTGATTTTTTTTTTTTTTTAATAATTTATTTTTTTCCCCTAAGGATTATTTTATTTAACTTTATTTATTTATTTTTACTTTGATAGGAGAGAGAGAGAGAGAGAGAGAAAGTGAGAAAGCAAGCCACCAGATCTGGGACTCGAACCATGGTCGGCCATATGGGAGTCCAGGCACCTTAACCACCATGCCAGCTGCTGGCCTCGCAAACGTGATTTTTAAGCCACGAGGTCTGGGACTCAAAGCATGGTCAATTATGTGGGAGTCCATTGACGTAACCATTTTGCCATCTGCTGGTCTTGGGGTTTGCTTCTTTTTATAAGGGATCTTGAGCCTCTTAATATCCTATGAAAATTTTTTTGCGGGAACTAGCAGTTAGCAGAATGGCTAACTGCTACTGGTCTCCCATGTAGTCGACTGCGGTTCGACCTGGTGGCTTGAACTCAACGCTGGGTGCATGTGCGTGCATGCCCAAGAGGAGAATGGAGGAGAAGGGATTGTGGCATGGCCATCCCCCTTGGGGGATGACTTTTTGCTTTCTGTCTCTCTCTGTCTCTTTCTGTCTCTCTGGCATGTTCATGTGCCCTATAGCAAAACCTCTCAAAAATTTGTTTTGCCAATTTTATTAAAATTCAGCCTTGGGACCGGCAGGGGGCGCGGGGGGTTAGGCACCTGGGCCC